TTACTAACGTTGTATAAATAACCAATCAACTGAGTTACTGACGTGTCCTAACCGTCGAATTTTGTTCAAGACAGCAAGAGATTTTACACGGTAAAATCGGCAAAGGCAACCGTATATATATATTGAGTCTCAATTTTTTCTTTGTTTCATCTTCCTTACATTACAAAGTCAATAAAAATCTGCAAAGCTTCACTGATAACCATGGAAACTTTGACGTCTTCTGCCACAACTGCCCCTTCTCTATCCGTTTTTGCTCCTAAATCAAAACATCTTTCCTCTCGTAAATTTGTCAAGTTTTCAGTTTCACGCAAAAGTATGGAGTATTCAATCATTTTTCTCATAGTTTTTTTTCAAGCATTTATTGATTCTAATGCTAATCTTTTTGTTTTTGTTTTTGTTTTTTCAGATAATGGAAATGAACCCGATCTTCAATCTGACGGAAATGAAGGCACAAGTATCGTTCCCATCTTCAACAATCCTACTCTCTCCAAGGTATTTTTGATTGATCGAGCATAAAGTTGATATTTTTCTTTGATTTGATTGTTGTGTTTCCATGATATTATGGTGATTTTTGAGGTTTTGATTTGTGGGTCTGTTCTGTCTAGAGGTATTTTTGATTCATTGACCTCAAAGTTCAATTTTTTTTTTATTTGATTGTTAGGTTTCCATAAAATTATGGTGATTTGAGGTTTTCATTTGTGGGTCTACTTTATTTAGGGGTATTTTTGAATAATCAACCTCGAAGTTGCTTAAATTGTATTTTCTTTGATTTTATTGTTGGGTTCTGACGAATTTTGGTTGATTTTGGGGTTTTGACTGGTAGGTTTACTTATTTAAGGTAATTCTGAAACATCACATCTCGAATATACTTTGGTTTCATTGATTGAATTGTTGGGTTTCCTCAAAAATATGGTGAATTTGGGGTTCTGATTGATGGGTGCAAGAGTAGTTTTGATTTTTCACTTTAAAGTTGGTTTCGTTCTTTTTGTTTAATTGTTGAGTTTTCCAGGAAGTTGTGGTGATTTGGGATTCTAGTTGGTGGATTGTGCTGGATTTTGAGTTATCATCCTCAATATTGAGTTCTTTCTTCGTTTAAATTGTTGGTTTTTAACTATATTGGGGTGAATTTGGGGTTCTGATCAGTGTGTCTTTTGGGGATTTTTACCAGGATGCAGCTATGGGTTTGGTCCTTAGTGCAGCTAATGTAAGAGGCTGGACTACTGGCTCGGGTATGGAGGGGCCACCTGTGCCTGCTGGTTCTGATTCTGAATCCAATACTGACCAGATTTCCACCTTCCCTTGGTCTCTCTTTACTAAATCTCCACGAAGGCGTATGCGTGTGGCCTTTACTTGCAACGTCTGTGGCCAACGAACTACTCGTGCCATCAATCCTCATGCCTATACTGATGGCACTGTTTTTGTCCAGGTACTTTACTAACAAGAACCTTACAAGTTACATTGGTTGATGAAAGAATGAATTAGTGACCCTTTCTTATGTAGCTTATTATTTTATATGTTTATTGAAAAATAGAAGACAAATGCTACCCTTAGAAGTAAGAAAGGATCTTTCTAGAAAAAAGTAATGAGGACTTGGTAAGGAACTTTCTAGAGAAAAGTAAAGAGGACTTGTTTCCTAAGGGATGCAATTTTACCCTAATCAACCAAATTTATTGAGAAATATAACTTTTTAGGGCGAGGGATCAAATGAGATTTTGAATCATCGCATTGGTCTTATATATTTCAATATCGAGGATGAGACCAAAGATTTGCATTTGTTGATAAACTCTCCGGGGGTTGGGTAATAGCTGGGGTGGCTATTTATAATATTATGTAATTTGTGCGACAAAATGTCCATACAATATGCCTGGGACTTGCCGCTTTAATGGAATCTCTTATCTTTGTCGGAGGATAAACTGCCAAATGCTTACCATTCTATCCTGCTTGGCATATAAGCTAATTTACTTGGTTTCTTGTTTTGGCAGTGTTGTGGATGCAATGTATTTCACAAGCTTGTGGATAATTTGAACCTGTTTCATGAGATGAAATGCTACGTGAGTCCCGACTTCAATCCAAGTCCAGACAATGATATTGGCTTCAAGTATTTTGATATGGATGATGACAATGATGACGTCTTTCCACTTTTTTAAGGTCTGATAGAAGGATGTGTAAAAATTAGAGTGTTATACATTCCCTTGCTTCTATTAGGCAGTTTCTCTAATCACATGACTGTAAATAACAAGTATACCCTGTTTATATGAGTTATGACTGTTAATAATTGAATATGCATACTGGTATGTCTTATCTTGGTTGGGTCTTGAATCTTGTGATTTCCATTATGGAATTTGTTTGGATAAGTGCCTGTGCTTATTGATGTTTGCGTATACGTTTGTGCTGCTGGGTTCTATATATGTGATGAATTTATTCAATATTTTCTAATCACAATCTCACTGAAGGATATCCTCTCTATGCTGCTTCGTTTGGGGCTAGGATGTCAAAATGCCAACCACTTTTTCGCTTTTGTTTTCATGTGCTTACTAACTCGGCAAATTCCTTTTTATTTTCATATTTTTATACACTATGGTTGGTTTGGGTGAATAAGGTGGTCCATAGGGGGGGAAGTAACAGAGATGGTTACTTCAGTGCCCCTATAAGAGTCAGAAATGAGAGAAACTAGCTCCATGATATCTTCAGTGCCCTTCCTAAACTAGATTGTTCCTACCCCTTTCTTCCCTTTTGGCTTTATTGAACAAAGCAAAGCGTTTTTGCACCCCTGTACTATCATGCCAGAGTTTATGTTTTTTTGCTGGTTCATCTTGACATTATATGCCTGTTGTGAACTTGGGAAATCGAGTAGTAACTTGGTTGGAATGAAAAGCAGCTCTAGATTCAAGGGCTGTCAACCTTTTGAGCTGGAATTTATTGTTTTACTTTTACAAGCAAGCCAGTGAGCATGACGGGCGATGCGATGTAAGCCAGTTGGTTATATTAGGGAATCTTTTGGATAAGCTACTTATCCAGAATGGAACCTTGCTTGATTTTGGTTTTGATTGAAGGAAGTGTGTTGCTGGCACTTCATTTGAAGGTCAGATAGTGGCTTTTCCTACTTACCACTTAGGTGACTTGGCCTGAGGTTTAGGGGCGGATCTAAATGGGAACCTAGGGGTTCATCAAGTGAACACAGTAGCTTCTGCACAAGCTCTCTATATGTATTACGATTTCACTAGATATCGATAAATATTTGAACTATTATTGTATATTTACTTGAGGACATTGTAGGAACCCACAAACTTAGACTTGAATTCGCCTCTGCAGTGAGGTTAATGGTCCTTTGCACTAAGCTCATCCTTACTGTTACCGTAGAAGGAAGATAAGCTGATTTATACCTAGTTCATCTTATGTTGAAGAGAGTAGAGAGAATATGCCATTCTCATCTGTCTCTCATTTGTCCATAGGATTGTACAACAGTTAAATCCCATTAAGTTGGCAGTTGCTTCTGTCTAGTTCATGATTTGATCTGTGCACAATTGCCGCATGGATTGATGTTGTTCTGTATATAACACTATCTTTGAGTCTCTTGTCCTGGTTAAGCGGGAGACTCAATTGAGCACCTCTGCCCCATTTTAGTGGGGGTGGCTTGACTATCTAGCCGTTGGGCTCATGGGCCAATATAAATGTTATCTTTTGCATCATTTGTAAATCTCGATTGTAAGTGAAAGCATCTTCTATAAGCAATTATGAAAGCATTTAGATAAATGTTATCTTTAGGATATGTAAACATCATGAGAACATTTATAAGGCATTTGTACATCTTAGACATTCAAAACTGTATGTGTTGATATAAGACATGGAGGACACACTATTGTGTGAGTGTAGCTGAAGGCTACATTCTTGAAGTGTTCACGGTGTTTGGAGACATTGCTATAGTCGTTATCTCGAGTCATTGCTTCTAATTTCTCCTCCTACCCTGGTCTTCAGAAGTTATGGAACTTGGGCTAGAGTCTCCTCATTTGTCATCACTACTACTCTCTGAATGGCGATCTTCCCTCTTAGATCAATCATTCAGATAACTCAGGATGATCTTATTACATATATAACGGGGCAACTTGAGAGTACACCTCGACTATTTTACTTTCCATTAGCATTGGGTAACGGCATAATGCTGTTCACCAAGAGTTATCATGTGGGCAGAAGTCACTTAGCGTTTGTACTAACAATATAGACATAAAAAAGGAAAGATCCTTATATTAAATCTTCTGTTTTGTGTTTAATATTTGGGGGTTTTCATTTTCTGTTGCTCTGTGTATACTTAAGTATGAAACCTTCACTCAAGATATGCACTTCACATGTGAAGATATTTTGAATTAGAGTTGTAAAGCAGAATTAGATGGAATAGGCCTTGAGGCTTGTACCAAAAACTACTTAGTACAATTGCAGTACAACAGAAATAAGGGTAGTACATTAGAGTACCCTACAAGAAGCATAAATATATATATGAGTTTCCATTTCCTAATGTTTATGGCTTATTCTATGTCAATGCATGGAACATCAAATTTGTGGATCTTTGCAGGTTAGTCCACTCTTCATGTAAAGACTCCATATTAAATAATGTAGTTGTCTCCATCTTTAGGTCAGAAGTTTGAATCGTAGAAGCAATCATTAGTGCTTACATTAGGGTAGTGTTGCTTATATGCATCACACCCTTTCTTTTGCTAACACGAGATATTTTGTGTTCATAGTGTTAAAGGATTTTTAGATTAATTGAGGGGAAAATGCAAGTAATGTACTACTCCATAATCGATAAATTTACACTTATACTGTAGATATTTTTACTTACTAGTGTGTACAAGTTAAGTTATATTTGTTTTGAAATATCTCCTTTTGTGAGCTATGGTTAAGTTAATCGTGTCTCATTCCATACCACACAATAACCGATATTGACATTTGAGTATTTTCCATTAACATAATTAAACTTCTTTTAACTATAGATATATAATTCAAGTCGAAAACGCATCTTAAACCTATCAAAAATTACATGTCTGCATCTCTCAAAGGGAAAAAAATAAAGAATTGTGACCTTCTATAGAGCCACATAATGGAAAATCTACGTATTGAGATTTTTATTTTCAGTCTTGTACTAGTTTAAACTTTTTGTGATTCAATATAATTGTAGCCCTTCAATTTCCATCTTTAGATAAACATATACACGTCATAGGATATATAATCCATATCAACCAATAGCATTCTTTCACAGCAGATAACTGTCCATCCTTTGATCACAGTATACACCACTCATTTATACAAAGAATCAACCTCTTCCTTCACTACTCTATCCACAACCTCACATATTAAAACCCCATCAACCCCTACTCCCCTTTTCTTGATTCCAAATTTTCAATCACAAAAGCAACAACAACAACAATCATATCTATTAACAAAATGGCCACTGTTACCTCTGCTGCTGTTGCTATTCCATCTTTCACTGGCCTCAAGGCTGGTGCTTCCTCATCTTCCAGAGTTAGCACCGCTGCATCCGCCAAGGTGGCAGCTGCCCCAGCTGCCAGATTGACCGTGAAGGCGTCTTTGAAAGATGTCGGTGCTGTTGTTGCTGCCACCGCTGTTAGCGCGATGCTTGCTAGCAATGCCATGGCACTTGATGTGTTGCTTGGTGGTGATGATGGGAGTCTTGCTTTTATTCCTGGAAACTTCAGCGTTAGCGCTGGTGAGAAAATTACATTCAAGAACAATGCAGGGTTCCCACACAACGTCGTATTCGATGAGGATGAAATCCCAGCTGGTGTAGATGCAAGTAAGATTTCCATGGCTGAAGAGGATCTTCTGAATGCAGCAGGAGAGACATACAGTGTCACTTTGAGTGAGAAAGGAACTTACACTTTCTACTGTGCACCTCACCAGGGAGCTGGAATGGTTGGCAAAGTTACTGTTAACTAATTTTCTCACCTCTCTGTTATGTAAAAGTTGATTTGAGTTCCCATCAATTTCAACATTTTCCTTTTAGTATTGCCCTTCTCTTTTTGAGGTGTAATGAAAACTCAGGAAATTAAAGTTGCATATTTATCCATGTAATGTCATTTTGTGATTAATACCAGCTTTTTTGGACTGTAATATTGCTTTTGTAACATCAAAAAGTTCAACCTTTCTCCTGATGGTAAACAACATACCGTTTAAGTTGCTCAGACTCTTCAAAAATGTTGCCAAATCATCCAAAAGTAGAGCCTTTTTGGAGAATCCGAGCAACATAGTATCTCCTAACCTGTATGAACTAGCCCGTATTCACAGGAAATATGATCACAGCAATGAAACCAAAGAATAAAAATATCTTTCTCATAGTAGAATAGAATTATAGAAGAGACAGAAATTAGATAACAACAAATGGCCGAAAATTTTCACTCTGCATCTGTTGAAATTATATATCTTTAAAGTTAACTGTACATTTGGAGAGATTCTTGAGATCATCATGAACAAGATATTTATTACATGATTAATACAACAAAGAATGGTATAACATTAGTGAACACGATGCACAACTTCGACAGCAACCAAGATGATATAGTTCTTGCTCACTGAGTTGGAATTCTGATAATTATTCTCACCAATTCTATAAGAAATTGGTTTAATTTACAGGCATTACAAAACCGGAAGACGGGAAGAGTTATGTGGTTAAAGCATCAGGAAGATTGGTTCGAGCTCCTAGTATTTTACCACCAACATCAGGAAAATATTCATGACCAGGCAAGGAACTTACTTTCCCATCAGTACCAACTTGGACTGGATACTTGAGAAGATGACCTTGTAAAGGTTTGAATTCGTCAGCTGTAAATCTATTCCAGTTATCTTCAGCAACCTCATTTACATGCTTCACGCAGTTCAAACTTTCTGGCTTTGTGAAGGTATCGTCTAACTTGCCCATGTGCTCTGCCCATAGAGACATTCTATAACCATATACCTGCAGCCAAAGGCGGATCCGGAATTCAAATGTGATTTCAGCATTTAGGTGTTTAGAAGGTAATATTTATTGCAATGTTACTGATTTTTTTTCACATCAATATCTAAGTTCAGTGTTGAAAATACTGATTTCAGTTCAACACATCAAATAGAAGATCTATCCCCCTCTTCATGTAGTTGTAGTTGTCAAGAAGATCCTTTTATAGACAGGGTAGCATGATTAACAAAAAATTTCCTGCTATTGATTAAGATTTGATAGTTTTGATCAAAATGAAAATGTTCTAGTTTGCTTTATTAGGGGAAGGAGATTCACAGACCTGGCCATGTGGATGCCTTTTCTTCATAGCCCAAGTGTGATGAGGTTGATATGCACCCATAGCTATCTCTGTGTCTCTTGAACCAGCCATAGATCTTTGGTTAATATTGGCAGATCCTAAAATGACATACTCATCATCCACTATCATCCCCTTGGCATGTACATAAATCATAAACCGTCCAAATTTCTGTGAAGCTGAAATCTGATGGCAGTTTCATGGCAAAATTAGTCCTCATCATTATGTGCACTTACAAGTCTATCTATAACAACAACAACAACACAGCCTTACCCCTAACTTGTGAAGGTAGAGAGGCTCTTTCCGGTAGATCCTCGGCTCAAGTAAGAAAAGGACATACAAGGATATCTATAATGAAATAGTGTAGGATTTTCAAAAGATTCATACAACCATATCTGAATCTTTTGTGATTTCTTTTGTAAATCACACCAATTTGGTGTACTTCTATCATATTTAACATACAAAAGAAAAAATAGATCCAAATACGACTGCGCTACTCTATTAGTTCTTCGGAAATATTTAAGAGGCAGTTCCTATAACTTGTCAAGTGTTGTTAAAGATATTCTCTTGGTTTATAATGTAGTACAGATGACTTGATGTGTACTCAGCCAATGTCATGAATTGATCAAATTACAGAGAAGTAAATCTAGTTCCAATGTTCCATTCACTAGTTAGAATAGTTTTATTTCTTTTAATCCAGAAAACTAGCATAGATACTTGTGCGTACAGAGTATATAAAGTGACAAACACGTTTCTAACTTTTGCTTAAAAGATTGTTTCAATGATCAGAAATTCACAGTCAAGCACATATAGTTAGACAAGTAGCTGAACTGAAGGAAAAGAGGGTATCCTTAAGTATATCGAACCACATTTAATTCCAAAAAACATCAGGTAGATTTTAAAGCATTGTTTAGCGAAAGGGTAGCATAACAATTAGCAGATATAATGAGAATAAAGATTCCTACCAAATCGCCATTTGAAGCATAGTTAAACTTTGATTCTCCACGTAATTCTTCTCGATTACCCAGACAATAGAAGTTTAAGTAGTCAGAAAGATGTACATCTATAAGCTGAGAAGATTTTAGCTCTTGAGCGATGATTGCATACATCATTTTCATAGTTTGCCTCTGCAAGAGAAACACAATAATGAGAATAGCAGCAAAAGAGATAGTCTCTTAGTAACTGAGAATAATCTTTGATAGGCATATCACCCGTTGCTGGCATCAAACTACAACAAACTCAACATATTAAACGAAGCAAAACTGAAGTACAAGAACTGTAATGGAATTGTCAGTAGCCTTCAGCAACAAAAAGGACTTTTTCTTTTCTTTTTTGGAAATGGCAATAGAACTAAGAAAGTGTTGATCACATCCAAAAGAGAAGAAAAAACAGAGAAACAACTAAAAGAGGAGGAGCACCAAACTTAAAGGAGGACCTCTACAAGTAGATATAAACTCAAAATATTCAATTATCCACCAAACTAATTAGATTATCACATTTCGCTCACTTATCCCCGTGTTAGGGGCAAGAAATAGCAAATCATGCACTGTAATCTGAAAAGTTGGACAATGTGTATCACTCTTTCGGTCAATTAAGTTAAATCACATTCTTATTTTATTGATTACAATACTCAAGAAGTACACACAATGCTGACATTTAAAGAATAGTATGCTGCATAACCTGCCAATACAGAATTTCTTGCACTGAGGCAGAAGTGGGGACTCCCTCGGGCCACATTGGAATGACAATATAAACAGCAAATCGCTCTTTTGCCCGAATTTTGCTGGCTATTTTTAATGCAAGCTCCATGGGAATTAAATTATCAGCACCTAAAGTACAAGCAAACACTTGTGAGGGAACAAAAAAAGATGGAGCCAAAAAGAGTTGCACACAGAACCAAGGAAACCGCTCTTCACTGGCGTAGTCTAGGTGACCAAACAGCCTCATTAAGGTACAACTCCTTGAGTAGAGATGATTCATGTTTTTCTAATATGATTCATGTTAATGGACATTATTGGGTGAAAAAACAATAGGCATGCAATGATGAATTTCGACTCATAGTATGTCTTTAACACCTTGTTTGGTTAAAATGTAGGGGAAAGAAGGGAAAAGAAGTGGATTACCATTGTTCACTTAAAAGGGGTTATTCTCCATATTAAGTTTAAATGAATGTACAAGTAAAAGTCTTGACTAATCCTCTGGTACCTCACCAGCACAAGTACCAACTAACTCTATCCATCAATGCGTAAACAAATGGGAAGAAATCACCTATCTTTTTATGAAGAGGGGGATTTGAATCATGAGGGTAATTTAACTATTTGTGATCAAAATCACAATATTTCTCTCCAAAACTGAAGGCATCACAACTTCTGAGGTAGAAGGGTATCATGGCCTACAAATTTACTTTACCCTGTTATTTATTCATATGATTAAACAAGGTAAATGATCCTTACAATCCATCTTATTCACCTTCCACCTAACCCTCCTCTTTAACCCAACCAAACATAAAATGAGAAAAAACTCCATTAGTCAGAGACATTGGATTTGTATTATATCTCAAGGCAGTTATGGTTCTTTCTTTCCTTTGACAATCCAAAAGCACAGAAGAAGATAAATGATGCTAAATTAGATTAGGAACAACAATCATTCCGAATAAAGATGATAAACCTGCTTCTTTGTATGAAGGCCAAGCATATGATGACCCAAGGAAATATTGATTTTCAATATAGATAAAATGCTGTGCCTGTCTAATTGCTTGAATATATGCCATCTGGATGCTTCTATCAATCACCAAATTTTTTGCACAGACAAGGTTCTGCAATGAAAAATGTCAAGGACCTTTTAGAAAGTAAAGCAAATTCAAAACCAACGCTATATAAAGATGGCATGTGACATTCAACTTTCAGTATGGACTTCAAGAAACAAGAAGCTACGAGAGTATGCACCTGTGATTCAGCCAAAAGAACATCTTTTGGAAATCCTTTCAAGGACCCTGAGTCAATAGATCGAAAGACCTGTAAGCATTCAAACAACATAGTGTTAGCTGTAACTTAGTTAAATCTAATCAATGACTCAATATTTTCCTTTGTGAAGAAAAACGTTAGTTCCTACGAACCTGAACATGCCAGTTTTCAGGATCGTCTTCCTTGGAAACCCACAAAGATTGGTCGTCATTTGGAACAGAGGAGGAAGGACTTGTAATCCAAGAAATTCTTTCTATTTTGATCAAAGCATCGTCGTGCCAATGAGATATCTTTTTCAAACGTCTTCCAAACTCTGACCATTTTGTGGCTTTTCTCCACCGCTGCTCAAAGTTTGTGAGTACATCATATGCGGCAGGTCCTTCGATCTTGCAATGCAAATCATGCCATGGCTGTCTAGGCGCCTTGGTTCCTGCCTATCGAAAAGACAAAATTATATCTCTGCCAGGAAAATCCCAAAACATCAGTCGGGGAAAAAAAACTTGACACCAGGTCAATACATGAGGGTCGGATAGAGAGGAACAACATTAGTTCAGAGAACAAGTGTATCATCATTTTTATAGGCTTGCAAGAGAAAAAGATAACTGAAAACTAAAATATCAACTGCTTAAAAAAAACAGATTTTTTGAATTGCCTATATGTTATATTTTGGCAGGTTGAGATTACTAAAAGAATGTATGCTCAGGTGTTATATATTTCCCATCACAGAGGTCTAGACCAACAATAAACAATACTCACACTAAATGTTGGATTATGATAATCATCCTTGAAGACTGTGTCAAGATCACGGAATAATCTATGCTCAGGTGTATCATAACGCCCGTCACAGAGGTCTAGACCGCCAATG